ATTCACCTCTAGACAAACATGGTTGACATTTTCCCAACTTGAGAAAGGTGCAGATGCATCCACATACCTGCCATGACCTCCTTGTTATTGTGGTTCAGGCATCAGGTTCAGACATGCGGTCCCCGTTCTCATCATTCTAAACACTGGCCCGTGTTTTCAGCTTCCACCTCCAGTGTGAAGTAATTCTATACGTGATGCTGGGCAACAAGACACTTGTACCTTGGACTTCTTCCTCCTGGCCAAAACACCTGACACCAATGAGGCAGAGAGCGGACAGTTTCAGTCCTCCGATTCTGTAGGGTGACATTGGGAACTATTTTCTGCCACAGCCATTGGTTGACAATACTTCTGAAACCTAGCTGTCTTGATGTCACTAGTTCCTCAATGAGGACTTGGTCTTGCTTGTTGTGAGTGACTCTTTGCTTTCTTGACTTCACACTGTGGTGGGCTCTGAGTCCTTCTCCCATGAGAAACACTCCTCGTTTGCATCCTGTGTTTTTCCCTTGAAGGGTCAGGGATCCCAAGGTCCTGTTTCTGACCCTTTCCAACCCAGACTAGGGTATCCCCTTGAAGATCCTTGAGGATCATTTAAATTACTATCTGTCCATTGGCTAAACATCATAATAACACATCTCTGAGAATAGGCCTTTTGCTTTCATGCACATGGGGGCACCTAAAGCATACTGACTTTAAGATACTGAAAGCTCTCTTAGGAATACGCTGAGATGCCTTGGAGGTGTTAAGAAAGGATGTTGGGCTGACATTGTGGGATTGTGGCTTGGGAGGGCAAGCTGCCACCTGTGAGGCTGGTAGCCCACCTGCGTGTGCCCCAGCCACTCCACTTCTGGCCCAGTTCACTGCTAAGGTGCCTGGGAATACAGCTCAGAATGTCATAAGTACTCGGGTCAGCATTCATGTGGAGAGCTGGATGAAGCTCCTCTTGACACGTGGTTTTGGCGTGGCCTAGTCCTGATCGTCTCAGCCATTTAGGGAGTGACCCAGTGGGTGATGAAAGATTTTTCTCTTCCCCCATATCTGGAACACTGCCTTTCCAATAAATAAACCTTAAAAAGATAAATAAAGGATCTCATAGCCTTAACTTTGATATCCTCCTCATCCAGAAATCAGATTTTTTTTTTTTTGTCCTGGATTTGAAAATGTTTGTCCTGGAGATACTGCAGTGTGAAATAATTCTCTGTATTAACATAGTAATTCCTGGCTTCTTGTTCTTTAATTAATCTATTTCTGCCTATCGTTTAGGCAGTTGGAAAAATTCAGTTGGTATTTTCTATTTTCTACTTCGAAATGGCCCAGGTTAGGTTCGTGAATTCATTAGGGCCCTTTGGAATAACCACATTGTCCCTGCCATAGTTCTGCTAGTGCTACTGCCAGCACATGACTCCTGTGCTCTACCCCTTGGCTTCTAGAAAGGTTTCTGTTTGTTTTCTGCAAGAATCTTCTAAAAGACCTTGATACTTCTGCCAACAAGTCTTTCAGACCTGTCCAACTTTGGCCTATGTTTTCAATTTCTGCTTCCAGACACCAAATTTTCTTCTGGTTTGCTGAGACTGCAGATCAACCCGCCTCAACACCTCAAGAGCAGAGAATATGTGTTGTAAAGAATCCAGTACATTCTGCATTCTCTCCTTGGACAGAATACATAACAAGTCACTCTCCAGCCATATCCAAGATCGCAATGTGACAATAAACATCTTAGTTTTTCAAACTCTGGTAAATGATTCAAGTGGCACTTGACATGATGTGAGAATGGTCAGTAGCTTGTGACCGGCATCATCTGTTAGTCATTATGGAATGCAAAGAAAGCCACAGCGGAATATGAGGGGGCTGCAAGAAATTAATAGCAAATAATAGGGAACAGCTGACACATTCAGAATACATATGACCTCAGTATCCCTGCATTCCACAAATATGGACCCAAATAGCCATGGATCAAAATTGCTTAATAACAAAGCATGGTCTTTAACTGAAGGTGTACACATTAGTTTTCCTTGTCATTACCCACTAACCAATACTATCCAATAGCTGTTTGCATAGCACTGATGTAAATAAATGGTAGTGTACGTAGCCTAGAGGTGATCTGAAGTGTATGGGAGGATGTGCCTAAGTTGTATGCAAATATGACATAGGGGCCTGAGCATCTATGAATGTTGGTATATTCTTGGGAGGAATGTCCTGTAACCAGTCCCCTCTGACATCAGGGACAAGTATATACAAAACATGGAAGAGAAGTTGAAGCAAAGGTGTTCAGGGTTGGTGAGTCTGTAATCCCCTTATCCTGCGACTCTTAAAATGGCTGTTCAGTGAACACCAGGAAGCTGAATTAGGCCTGCTCACCAAAGTTGGCCATTTTGCTTATTCTGGACAGCCCCAAATGGGTGTCATTGATACTTGTCAACTACTCATGAATAATGACCACCAATGACATTTGCTGAAAACTTGCTGCTTCACATGATCATATTGAATCTTTGCAACAACCTAATGGGAGTAGTCGGTGGGGGTGGGGGGAGGGCATCTTCTGCCCAGCAGGCCCCCAGACCTCCCAGGGATGAGGCCACAGCCCACTCTTCTCCAGCAGAAACACTAGACACGAACTGGTGGTGATGAATGTCAATTCATCTGAGAGAAGTCACGAGCTTATATAGGGTAGGAGAAGGGGGCAGGCAGAAGGCGGTCCCAACAGTACCGCCATCCAACAACAGCATTGTGACTGGCTAGCAGGTATGTCTATCTCTCTGGACCTTCCCATGAAGTCGAAGGTCAGGGAACACAGGAAGTTGCTTCCCAGGGCAGACTCCTTACCTGCTGAAAGGCAGGATGAATGTAACATTTGACTTCCTAGAATTGTTTACAAAGGAAGTCTTAACACAGCTCATTAAAGGAGCAGAGAAGAGAGACTGGGGTGCAGAGAGACTGGGCTGCAGCCGTGGCTCTTGCCACAGGCCCAGTGAACAGACCATGTTGGGGTCTCAGTTAACCAAGGGCACAGTGTGCCATGTGCTTACGGCCTCCATTCTGGGCTAGGCAGGTGGAGATCCAGGGGGCGATCTCAGGGTAGCTACTTTTCCACTTTACAAGATGAACATGATCAGATTAAGAGACAACCGGTAACTTGTTCTCAGGTGTCCACATCCAGTGAGTGAGGGCAGATTGAGAACTTCGGGTGCTCTGGCTATGTGGGTAATCCCAGCATTTGTGCGTGAAAGCTTGCCAAGGGGCTTTGGTCACCTGCTTGCCATCCAGAAAGTGAGAGGTCAATTGCTTGCTGAGGCAACAGACTGCGACAAGATGCGACTCTCCTCTAAACTAAAGGATCATCAGGGAAGATTCTGAGCCTGAAAACTGTGCTCATCTTCCTGCCACGCTTTATGGAAATTCTAGCAATACCTGCTGTGTACCTCTTTGAACAAGGTGCACAAGGCCCAGGAAGACGGTAAGAAAACTTGGGACGCAGGGCCAGGAGAAGAAAAGAACATAAGCCTAGAAGAGAGCAAATACTCAATGCCAAAGGTGTGGTACCTGTAGCAGGTGCTACAGGCACTCAGAAGCCATGCTTAGGCTGCAAAGCCAAGAGGTGCAGCTCGGGAGGGTACCTTGACGGGCTTGTACTGCTAGTTGGCAGTGTCCATGCCCCAACTCCCACGGCAGCGGAAGCAGCCAGCAGAGGTGATGGCGTCTTAGTTGTTCGGACCAGAGGCTTAAGACAGCGTTGGCTGCTTTGTTCCTAATGGCTGTGAGAGCCTCCACGTTGATCTTTTCCCTTATTCTGGAAACTGGAGGTATCTGAGTTGGTGAGCTGTCTTTTCTCTGAGTAACAGGGCCAAGAAATTAGGGACCCGGCAGAAGGGGAAGAGACTGGCCTGCTCCAGTCAGGCCCAGTTGTTCCTTCTCCCCTGGCACACCCTTGGGAACAGCAGCAAGGGGCTGGCCCGTGTGTGATGGTTTACGACTCATGTCTTGCTATCTGCTTTCTTTCTTGACAACACAAACCTTGACTGCACTGTATATTCTTGTCAGCTCCTGGTCACATGGCAGGCAGACAGGTAGGAATCAGGAAAGGTGACCGGACGATGGCACGGGGCAAGGGAGGTAAGAAGAGGCGTCTGAGTGTGCCAATAGCTTGAATGATCATAAGCTCACATCTTTGTCCAAAAGCCCTCTCCTTCGTCCCGGAAAATCCATTCTATGACCTTGGAAGGAAAGATGGTCCGCCCCCCTGCCGCCACTTGCTCCCAGGCTCCAGGGGGATTGAGACCACAGGGAGGCAGGCGATGCTCCAAAGCAGCCGAGGGTGCCTGGGCTGGGTTCACAGAATCCTTTTCTTCGCCCCAGTTTTCACCTCGGATGCAGGTGTCACCGTGGCCCCAGGGTGTGGACTTCCCCTTCCTTCGCCGGGGTGCGGGGGGGGGGACTAAGTAGATAAGGTGGGGTGGCCGGGTGAGTTGTCCAATACGGGGGGGAAAAACAGCAGTTTGGCGGAGTTAACGTGGGCAGCTCCACTAGGGAGGGAAGCAGGAGCACCGGCTGCCAAGCTCCAGCTCGCCCCCCGTGCGTGTGAGTGCGCGCGCGCCGAGGCGTTCCTCAGGTTGCGCCGCCTGGAAACCGAGGGAGCCATTGGTTAAACGGAGGGGTGGTGGTGGGGGCTCCCGGACCCTGGGAGCAGCCGGGGCGCTGGCGGCCACGCGAGCCCCGTGCCACCCGGCTCGCGCCACGCGCCGAGGCAGAGCGAGGACGGCGTTGCGGGCGGCAGCGAGGCTCCGGGGGGCGCGCTGGGGAGGAGCCCGGGTGGAGGCCAGAGCTGCATGGAGTTTCTAGGGCGCGCAACTCCGGCGGGGCCTCGGCCACTGGGTTCCGGGGCGCAGCGAGGAGGCAGCCGCGCACATGGGCTGAGCCCGCGCGGTCAGCGAGAACGGGAAGGGTAGAGGAGCGCGCGGGTGCAGGGGGTGCAGGGCACGCGTCCCCAGACGGGAGCAGAGGACAAGGACAGGGGAGGAACGCGCTCAGCTCCGCGCTCCGAGCCGACGAGGGGGGCTCGCGCCGGCCTCGGCGCGCGCGTTGGGGAGCGGCCCCGGGGGCGCCGTGGGAGCCGGCGGCAGCGAGGATGCCGGCACGAGAACGCGGCTGCCGGCTGGGGGTGTGAGCCAGAGGCTGAGCGCTGCCCCTGCTCGGCGTCTCCATTCTGCCGCCCCCTCCCTGCGGGCCTCGGAGGAAGCCCCCCGCGCCGCACGGAGGCGCCAAGGCAGCCGGGCTGCGGGGCCCCGGCCGAGAGAGAGGTGAGTGCCGCCGCCGCCGCTGCTGCTCCTGCTGTCCGCCGGCCCGCTCACTCCCTCCCCTCGCTACTTCCCCCGTCCTCGCCCCCTCCATCCTGCCCCCCTCCCCCTCCAACCTAGGCATTGTGCTCCCGTCCCGGAGTGGGCAGGCGAGCTGGCCACAGCGCCTCCCGTACCTGTTGGTACCGGCGCCCGGCACCCACCGGGCGGGCTGGGGGCGCCACCTTGCCTCCTTGGCGCTGCCTACCGGCCGCTTGCCTGGGGGCGTGGGGCCCGGGCAGGGCCGCGCGGCTCACTCGCGTCTCCTGCAACTGTGCGGGCTGGAGGTGCCAGTGGCCACCTGGCTGCGCGCCCCCGGTGGGATTGTAGGCAGGGAGAAGGCAGGGGACCCGGAGCCGCAGCGCGGCGCAGGTGAGAGAGCGCCTTAGCTACATCCAGGTCTCCGTGAAGCCCGGAGTCATGGCTACCGCGGGAGGCAGGGGGTGGGCAGGAGGCAGGGTTCGGTCCACCTCCAGCACCCCTAACACGGGCTCCTCGCCCTCTTTGCACACACGCTCCTCGGCTCCAGCCGCCCCGGCCCTTCCGGCCTTTGCGCGTGCGAATGTGCTGGGGAGGCCTCGGGTAACCCATCCTGGGACGTGGTCCGAGCATCTCCGACGGGTGGGTTCCTGTCCTCCCCGGCGGTCTGGGATGGCTGGGGTGCTAACCTCCCCTAACCAGCGCGACAGGGAGTGAACTTCCTTAGACTTGGCCTGAGGACGCCTTAAGCAGCAACAGTAGTAGCAGCAGGTAGTTCTAGGTCGTTTTTTGGGGGCCAGGGCAAGCGGAGCACGCGTCTCCCCTCCCCCCGCCCCCCGAAAGGCATGGGTGCCAGGAGCATACCGAACCCATCCGCTTGCGTCGCAGCGCACACCACATGCGCCCTTAGCCCCCAACCCCGTTTTCCTCACTGCTCCTATTTCCGGGACAAGAAGGGTGAGAGAGGCAGGCGCTTGGCTTCCTGCCATTTGTGCCCAAACCCCTCGCCCCAACTCCCAGGTGAGGCTCTGCCTGCAGTTCCGTGGGAGCCAAGACTGGGGCACCATCCCCAGACCTTGAACCTGCTTTTCTTTCTTTCTTTTTTTTTTTTTTTTTCTTAAGAGAGAGAGACTTTATGAGGCTGGGAAAGTAGCAGTCCCGTGCTGGCCACATGTGCCTGTGAAATCTGGTAGATGCTGATAATCCATTTCAGGGTGCCACAGAGCAGGTGCACTAAAACGGGTTTGGGGGTGACTCCTGTTGCTGGATGTGCAGGCGGAGGTCCTGTGTCTGTGTCGACACTGTGTCCTGTGTCTCCTGGTCCGTTGCTGACCAAAGCTAGACTCGTTTTCCACCCAAGCCTGGAGCTTGGGGAAGGCACGTAAATGACAGTTGGTGTGAAGTTGTCTTGGGAAGCCACTCTTCAGCTCCCTGCCTTGGTTGCTCGGAGGTTTTGATTGCATAGTCATGAAAGGTGAGCAGACGGTGGAGGACGGAGGAGGTTCTGTTTGCCCCCTGTGTGTGTAAGGGCTCTGATTGAAGTTCAGGTGGCACCACCCACCTGTCCCAGGCTTACAGCACGGTGGCCACTCCTCAGTTAGGGCTTCCTGCGTGAGGTCCAGGAGCTGCAGAACTTTGCCAGTTCACCAGGCAGTCCTTGGCTCCCCCCACCTCCCCACCACACACACAGATGCGCCCTGCTTGCCCCACAGCTGTGCTCCTATGACTGAAGTTGCTGGAGGAGAGGCCCCGTGGGTTTTCCACAGCCCTCGCTGAAAGCTGGGAAGAAGAACTGTGTTTATCCTGTTTACTGAAATTGGTTGTTGAGTGTATGCTGAGTGGGGTCGGGAGAAAAAAAAAAAAAAAGCTGTTTGGAAATCCAGCTTCCTAGGATGTTTTATGAGAGAAAGGCAAAAATCCTTCGCCAAAATGTCACCTTTCCTTGAACTCTTAAAGTCACTACTGCAACCTGTCAGGCCTTCGGTGAGCATATGGGATAAGGGCTTTGGAGAAAGAAAATACGTTTGCTGAGCTGATTCTGTTCCTAAACAGGTGGGCAAAACTTGGGGGCTGGGGGGCCTCCGGCCCTCTGATTTTTCTGGGGAGGGTAGAGGTAGGGCATTGGAGCAAGGTAGGGCCAGTTTAACATGTGGAAGACATCTGATTGATATTAAAATGTGAGCATGATTAGAAATGTCTTTTCTGTGGCCAGTGTGGTCTTGGGGTGTCTGAGCAGGCCCTTGAACTTGTGACTGCACCTGTGTGTGGCAGCGTCCTGGGTATTATGTGTCTTGGTCCTGACTGCCTTGCAGTGCTTGCTGGATGTCAGTAGGGGGCGCAGGTTCTTATTATGAAATTCTGACTCTTAACAGAATTTGGAATGTTTGAGGCTCTTTGAAGACCCTTTTCGTTCGGTTTTCTGAAGCCCTACAGTGTGCCAGACAGTTTCAAGCCTCATTTTTTTTTCTGATTATGAAATTGATGCCAAGAAAAGTTAAATAACTTTCTTGGGAGATGCGTGACTTGGGAGGAGGTCAGTAGCAGGGTTTCCGTTTGGTTCTGCAGGATCCAGGGTTCTGATTCCGTATTCAAGTTTTGATTCATCCCCCGTCCAGGTTGTGGATGGCCAGGAGTGCTTCACAGAAAGCTCTGACTGGCAAGGAGTTGTTTACAATCAGACGTGCAGTGGGAGCCCGGTCTGTTAAGTCACGTGGTTGCAGCAGGCTCTGGGATGCGTGCTATGGGTCAGCAGAGGAAATAGAACCTTATACCAAAGTCCCTGCCCTGCAGGAGTCGTGTGAAACTTAGAGCGCCTTGGCTATAAGTTTGGCTTTTAACTGATTTATTTATTTTTGACACACTCCCCTGCTATGCCCCTAGCTGCATGGACTAGACGACACTGGGTTCTTCACCAGAGGCTTAAACTGATGGAGTCAGAGTCTCTGATGGGTGGATTTGTGAGTGAGAGCTGTTAGAGAGACAAGTCCAGCTGGCCATAGCCTCTGAGGCTTGTTGACTTCTAAGCGACAGCCGTATTCAAGATTGGCAGGGTGGGGCCCAGCGTGGTAGCCTAGTGGCTAAAGTCCTCGCCTTGCGTACGCCAGAATCCCATATGGGTGCTGGTTCCTGTCCTGGCTGCCGCATTTCCCATCCAGCTCCCTGCTCGTGGCCTGGGAAAGCAGTCGAGGATGGCCAAAGCCTTGGCATCCTGCACCTGCGTGGGAGACCCTGAAGAAGCTCCCTTCTCCTGGCTTTGGATCAGCTCAGCTCTGGCCTTTGCGGCCACTTTGGGAGCGAATCAGTGGGCAGAAGATCTTCCTCTCTGTCTCTCTTCCTCTCTGTATATCTGACTTTCCAGGAAAAATAAAGAAGTCTTTAAGAAAAAAAGATTGGCAGAGTGAGTTGTGTGTTTGACGCAGCAGCAGTTGCAATACTGCACGGGATGCTTGCAACCCATGTTGGAGTGCCCTGGGTTGAGTTCCTGCTCTTCCTCCTTCCCAGCTTTCTGCTACCATGCATGCTGTGAGGCAGCACGTGATGCGTTGAGCTGTGCATCGCTGTCATCCATGTGCGAGACTCAGATTAAAAGCTCAACTTCTGCCTTTGCCCTGGCCCAGTCCCGGCTGTTGTGAACACTTGGGGAGTAAATCAGCACCTGAGGAATTCTCTCTGTATGTTTTTCTGCCTTTTAAATAAGAAATCTTAAATCTAACGTGAAAAAATAGAAGGCTGAAGATCAGTGTTGTGGTATAGTGGATAAAGCTTCAACTAGCAATGTCAGCATCCCATACGACCCCTATGTTTGTATCCCAGCTTTTCCACTTCCGGCACAGTTCCCTGCTTATTGCCTGAGAAAACAGTGGATGATGGTCCAAGTGTTTGGATCCTTGCCACCCACGTTGGAGACCCAGATGAAGTCCCTGGCTCCTGGCTTTGGGCTGACCCCGTTCTGGTTGAGGAGTGAACCTGTGGATGAAAGGTCTTTTGTCTCTGCCTCACTCACTCTGCAGCTCTGCCTTTCAAATAAATAAACAAATGTTAAAGGAAAAGGCAGACTGACGTAGCACTGGTTGATCTCTCAGAATGCCCAATCCGAAAGCAATTCCGATTTTTGTTAAACAGAATATAAAAAAAAAAACCCGAAAACACGGTTGTTGCATGCAACAACTGAGATTTTCAAAGTCAGCTGTGCTCTCATCACTTCACAGCTTAGAAAGATTTATCCAGTGCCTATCGAATGGCATGGACACGATGTCTGTCATTAAACCAGTCACAGATCAGTGGAACCGAGCAAGCCCCAATGTTAGGGACACACGCGGGTGACCATAGATGGAGGTGGTCCTTGCAGGGTGGTGATCCCTCAGAGGATGCTTGTCTATGGAGGATGGGCTGAGTGAAGGCTGACAGTCAGACAATGCTAAGGCATGGCCAGTGGCTCTTGAAACATATGTATTTAAGAGGAGAGTCTGCAGTGAGACCCGTGGCCCTGCGTTTCTCCTCTCTGGGGTGGGTGACCCAGTCAGGGGTGGCTAAGCACTGCCATAGGAAGCTGGATTTGGACGGAAGAGTCCTGGACAGCAGTAGAGTCTTGGTGCCGAAAGCTGAGCAGGTGTGTGAAAGCTTCGGTGGGAAGGGAGACGAGATGGATTTGGCAGACATTTAGGGAATTGTCTGTTAGTGTTCTAGGAGATGCATGCTGGCTGGCAAATGCAGAGAAGAGAACGTGTCACAAGTGTGGATGGAAAATGCCATGTCTGAAGAGCCAGGCTGGGAGCAGCCAGGAGATGAGCAGTCCAAAGCCAGGGGCAGAAAGGGGCTAACGGTCTCTTAGAGGCGATCCTGCAAAAAGAAATTTTGTGCAGACTTTTCTGTTACTATTCCTTCATTGTTATTATTGAATTACTCTGCTCTATTCGAAGTGCTCAGAGGCTGTGTCTGTCTGGCATAGCTTTGGGTTCTCCTACCGGGGGTGGCTTTCTGGAAAG